CGTGTTGTTCTTGTATTTACTGTGACAACACTCTAATGTTTGGATGGGTATAATGAATCAATGGACAGAAAAAAAAGAGATTAATGAGACTGCAATCTCGAGAGCACCTGTCTCCAAAGAGATTATTGCTTTCTGCTTTAAAAGCAAAAAAACACATTTCAAATTGGGTTTTCTTTCTCTCGAATTACTCGCTAGTACTTACACCTCCTGGCATTTTTCGACGGGAAGCCCCAAGATCCCGATGAGTTGGGCGCACTGCAATATGCTGTTTGCAGTCACATGATTCCGATGACGCTCGAAATTGAAACTGAGGCAGGAAGTGGAAGTCACAATGGACGATAGAGAGCAAAGCCCGTACTGTGCTAGTAATTGTTTCCTCATTGTGTCGTCCCACTCAACGCATGTGACACCTGGAATTTGCCCAATTTATTCTTAAATTATGGCTAAAAACCTATTTTGAGGTCACAGTGACCTTTGAGTCAAAGGTTTCACCTAACTTAACCGATAATTCTCCGTCACTGACTGAAATGTTTTTAACAATGGACGGAAAAACTGAAGGATGTCCGTCATTTTGACAGATGAAGACTAAGGGCGATCTATCTCAACATTAAGTAATTCATATGCAACACTCAATAACCAAATGTGGTCCACCTGAGGTAGACCCCCCCACCCCCCACCACCTTTCCAGTTAGTGGCGAGTGTGCATATTAATTAGCTGTTGCCTAGTAGTTTTGTCTTTGATCACACATCATGCATGACCTCGTTGTCTACCTGGTCAATGTTTTGGATAGCTGAAAACTGCACTGTAATTGCACTGGACCTGTGTGATGTGAGATCACTTACATTTGAGATGGTTTTGGATGATGATTAGAAAGAAAGAAAAAAAAAAAAAGAAACCTGTAGCCCTGCTCTCTCCAGCTGGCGTACTAAATCCTCCCGTTCGTGAGCGGGGAAATGGCGCGCTCCCACCTCCTCATCCCCCAGCCTCTGTCGAGTAATGGTCATTCTCAGGAGCTGTAGTCAAAAAAACAAGTTAAGTCACTGCTTCTATTAAGCACATCTACTCACGCATTGGACTGGGTTAAGTTAGGCTATATCATATGTTTGTGTGTGCTGCTACTGGTAACCTCACCTTGTTATCTCCCTGGGCCTCCGCAAGCCTCTGAGTCAGCTCCTTCACCTCCTCAGTGAGCTTTTTCGCCCGTTCTCTCGAGTCTCTCAACAACTGAGCCAGATTCACCTGAAGAGAAGGTGAAGAAGAGGAAATAAAGGGAAGGAAAAAGATACAGGGAAGGAAAAACAGTCAAAAACTGCAAAACAGCTGACAACATCCAACAATAAAATCCATTGAATAATGCACTACTATTTCTTCTTCAGCTCAAGGAAACGTATACACAGAATCAAACAATATATCAATATAACATAGCCAAAATTAAAGTCAATGTAAATTTGGGACACTGAACAAAACTATAAAAAATAAAATATACGTTGGCAGCATACGCAATGCAAAATTAAATTTACTTTTTTCAACGACAAGTTACAAGATCAATTTATTTACTGTTTCCAAAAAGCAATGTAGTAAGCATGTCAGCATCCTTTTCACAACACTACTGTTTGCCTGTTGATTGTTTTCTAAAAAAACAAGACTATATTTTTTTAATGCTGCTATTCAGCAGCCAACTCTTCCAATTCTGATTGTCACAGCGTCCTTGAAAGCACCACCAAGCAGAGTCCTACAGGAGTGCAACAAGACACACCCACTCCAACATTTACCCATGTCTGTCATGTAAGAAGTCCGAAAGCTGCAGATAGACCTCGTGAAAAAGCTGTCCAACTCAATGTCGCTGAACCTGATCTGTATTTGTTTGGTATTAGAAAGTTGTTTGACCATTGAGATCCGGTATTCGATGTGATCCAGAGCTAGAAGGCAAATACTTTTAGCATTAGTGGAAGTAAGAAAGCCCTCGTAATTGACAACAACCTACCTGATTGCGTTTTTCTGGTGGCAAAGAGGGGTCACCGTCCTACAAAAGTTACATAATTAAAATATTATTTGTCATCAAAGACAATTAGCAAATAGCACATTATAAATAATGTTAAAAACTACATTTAATTGACAGACACATCACAGAGTACTAACAAGTTGTTTAAAATGGCCGGTACAGCCAATACTGTGCACATAGACAAACATCACCTTGAAGGTTTGACCCACTCACAATGAGTTCCCTGTACTTCTTCTTGAGTCCCTGGTGGCGCTCCCTCAGCTGGTTGGCCATCAGCTTGTACTGGTCTCTTTCCTGCTGACAGGTATCCAGCTCCTTGGACAGAATGAGCAGGGCCTCTTTCTTACTCTCCAGCTTGCGCTTACACACTAGAAACTACAACAAACACCGGCACACAAGGACAGAAACGAAGGCAGTGGTATTATGACATGCATTACTGTGCTTTAAAAACAAACTTGGACTTAGATACAGTTAACTGTAGGTCATCTAGCTCTGTGTGTTGATTCTGTGACCACAGGAGTACATCTGTATCATCCCTCTATGGTATCATCCAACTTGTTCCTTTCATCATAATTTCTTACAGGCTCTATCTTTTGATGGAAACGGTCAAATTACTTAACTGTAGAAGTGATACCAACCCAGGCCAGCTCCCCACAGGTGGAAAAACACACACTGGAGCCAAGTGTTTAAAGTGTAGATAAGACACAGCAGAAGGAACAGAGTAAACCTTGATAGCTGTCAAACCAGCTCATAACCAAATTAAACAGCAGCTGCTACCATGGAGCTGAACGTGCTGTAGTAGTGTTTAGTAAACCACGCTTATTCATTATGTATAGCTGCAACTAATGATTCACGAGTCTGAGAATTATTCTCTCACTTAATGGACTGTCCATTTGATCTATAAAATATCAGAAAACACTTAAACTCAAGGTGATATGAACACATTGCTTATATTCTAAACCAGCACTACAAAACCTGAATATATGCAGGTCACTATCACATGTGACTAAGAAAAGCAGCAAATCATGTGCATTTTGGGTAGTTCTTGCTTGAAAAAAAATACTAAAATTATTTGACTATCAAAATAGTTGCCAATGATTTTTGAAGTCTTTATCCAAGTCTTTTTTATGAAGTCTTTATCCAAATTTCAGAAAGAAAGATGTAAGAATATCTGATTTATTATGAATTATTCAATATAGTCAATGTATTATCCCTACAGTTGACCAGGTGTGGTCGGTTAAAGAGCTATTGACTGGAGTAACGTTGCTATTGGGTATCACTGTTTTACATTTTCGCAGTTAACGTTATATGCTTTTATTGCTTTTCACCTCAGATTTATTCATATATATTTTATATATCCATATAGTCAAAATTTAATTTAAATGAATTTATGCTAGCAATGTTAAGTTAAATGCTGCCCCACAGGTGGGTTAACGTTATATCTGGTCTGTACAGCACCACACGTGTTCAGGAGGTGGGCAGGAGTGTTGCTGCACGTCCAGCCTCACAGGCTCGGAGACGGATGCTGTCGGCCTGACGGACTAGCATGCTAACTTAGCTTACCCTATCAATCAATCTTTAGCCTCTGTAGCTAAAAGACCAAAAAGTAGAGTTTCCTATGTGATGTTAAACAGCTACCCCGGTGTTTAATTTAGACAAGAGACCGCAGCTCGCTCCATATGGTTCAAGGGAGCTTCTGTAACCCGCCCGTCCCTGCAACAGCTGCTCGCGGTCTTCGACCCGCACTCACCTCGCTGACCAACCCCTGCCAGTCACTCTCACTCCTCTTGGCAGACTGCATTGTTCCAAATATCTTTAACAAAATGCCAGGATACAGGCTGCCGCTCTGCCTCCGTCCGAGCTGCCTCTCCTCCGTTTGTTGTCCTGCAACGTCACTTTTTTCTCTGCTGTCAAGTCGCGCGGAATGAGAATTTAAATAAATCTACGACTTCCGGTACAACGTTGAAAATAAAATTATCTTTGGAGAAAATTAGTCTTGAGCAATAATTATCATTGAAGTATAAAGCATTTAAATATGAAACAATGGATAGCAGAACATTATTTGGGAATAACAATAGTACGGGAGCGCTCCTGAAGACGAATTAGCAACATTAAAACTGAAATGGAGGGTTTTCTTCACAATAAAGCACAGAGCCTGTTCCTGTAAAAATGACATGAGCATATTTTGGAGAATCATAAGCGAGAGATTTTAATGAAATACAAATAACATCAAAAATATTTTCTTTTACCTTTACTGTAATTCTTATGGCTTTAACATTAAAGCACTTTGCCTCAATGTCCACTTTGAAGATCAGGAACGCTCCTGGCCCCAACAGTGTGTCTCCATCCTGCCTGAAAATCTGCGCAGACCAGCTGTCCCCCATCTTCACTCAGATCTTCAACAAATCACTGGAGCTGTGTGAAGTTCCCCCCTGCTTCAAACGACTGCACTTCAAGGGACCCATGTGTAAAACTCCTGAAGTTCACTGACGACACAACTGTCATCGGCCTCATCCGGGATGGTGATGAGTCGGACTACAGACAGGAGGTTAATCAGCTGGCTCTCTGGTGCAGCCAGAACAACCTGGAGCTTAACACACTCAAAACTGTGGAGATGACCAGTGGACTTCAGGAGGTGCCCCCCTCTTTTCCCCCCATCACCATACTCAACAGCCCTGTGTCTGCTGTGGAATCCTTCAGGTTTCTGGGATCCACTATATCCCAGGACCTGAAGTGGGAGCCCAACACTGACACCATTATCAAGAAGGCCCAGCAGAGGACGTCCTTCCTGCATCAGCTCAGGAAGCTCAACCTGCCTAAGGACCTGCTGATCCAGTTCTACACAGCCATCATCCAGTCTGTCCTCTGCACCTCCATCACTGTCTGGTTTGGATCTGCCACCAAAAAGGACAGGAGCAGACTACAACGGATAGTCAGGACTGCAGAAAAAAAATCATCAGTGCCAGCCTGCCCTCCATTCAGGACTTATGCATTTCCAGAGTCAGGAAACGGGCAGGAAACATCACTGCAGATCCATATCACCCCGGACACAACCTGTTCCAGCTCCTCCCCTTTGGTAGGCGCTACAGAGCACTGTACACCAAAACCAACAGACACAGAAGCAGTTTCTTCCCACAAGCCCTCACTCTGATGAACAGCTGATTTCTGACTCACACTGTCAGGAACAATTCCCGTGCAATAACTGCACTATTTGTCAATATGTCTATATTGTTTTATTCATAGTGTGTATGTTAGTGTTGTCTATACTGTAGTTTGTGTCTGATTTTATTTTACTATTATTTTATTATTTTGTTGTGGTATTTTTGTACAAGTAAGCACATCGTGAGCAATGTACAATCCTGAGTCGAATTCCTCCTATGTGTTCACATACCTGGCAATAAAGCGGATTCTGATTCTGACTATGGCACAAAGAATATTAACACGTATAAATATTATATATATATATATATATATATATATATATATATATATTTCTAGTTTACGTTGTATCTGTATTTGTTATTTTTGTTTTTGTAATTTATAACTAAATTAAATGGTCTTGATTGGATTAATCTTGTTATATCATACTTAAATGTAAACTTTAATTTTGAAACTGCTTTGTTAACATTGTTTAAATGAAACATTCATGCCAATAAAGCACACTGAACTGAACTGAACTGAAGCTATATTTGAACGATATTATGCCATAGCCATAACATCATGATGAAACACATCTTACAATCATATTTTTTTTCCAGATTTATTTATTGTTTATCTACTCAAGGAAACTTAGTAGTAGGTCTATATTCTGAGAATACCAGACTTTGCCACCCCTGTTCAGTGGCAAAGTCTAAAGGCATCTTGTGGATGGACGTAGAATGGAAAATCAAAAAAAGTACAAAAAAAGTTATCTACAATATGCAAGTGCTTCCCAACCTTTTAGCTTGTGACGCCTCAAAATTAAACTATGTCTATTTGCAGGCCCTTATCATCAGTTTCTCATGTCTATAGGTTATGACTAGTTCAACTAGTTATGACTAGTTGTGTAATAAGCGTTGTAACAGCAGCAACAAAAAGAGAACAAACCAATATTAAAAAAGTAAAGTAGCAGACATGAGATGTGTGATGTATGTCACATTAAGTAAGAGAGGAGTAAAGGAGTAAAGTAAGTAGAGAAGATTAAACTCATATCAAGAAATCAATAAAACAGTAGGATAACACATTCAATAAATGCCATTAAAAAAATACTTGCTTAATCCTTAATGTTCCAAAGACTAGATCTTGTCTCTTTCCAGAATGAAGGTGTCACCGTGAACACTTTTCATTCCTTTCTAAGCCCACGTGATGAAAAAAAACTTTCTCGAAATAATGATATCTCAAAATAACCAAAACTCATTAATCTCATTTAAGACACTAAGTCATTATTTTAAGAAAGTTTGTCATTACAGGATCTTTTTTTCATCACATGATGGAAATAAGTGAGAAAATGAGGGTGAGTTTATTCTTGACATATAAAGACCCATCATCATCATTCTTCTTCATTCTACTAAGTTTAACTCACTAGTGCTCATTGAGGTTTCGCATGAAGCGCAGTAATCCCAAAGTGTTGTTGGGGTAGGGGTTGTCACCTTTTCTCCATCTCTCGTGTTTGATAAACTTTAAACAACTTAAACCTTTTTGTCATTTCATATATTGATAGAAACTGGCAATAAAGACATGCTATGGATTTGCTGATGGGGAAAAAACTGCAATTGAAGAAAGTGTAATATTAAAAGAACACAAGAGAGGCATGGCTTTAGGTTAATCATTTCATTGACATCTTTTAATGTATCATTTGATTTTGACAAGCCATGCTAGCGGCTCTACAGAAGGTAATGTTGGCCTGTCGGGTCTGTCAGTCAGATGATGAAATTTTCAGTTAGTCCAATACTTTGCTGTAGGACCAAATTCCTGTGTATCAGCAGTGTAAGGTGTGCATGAGTGATAGGATAGTGTATGGATGTTGTAATCAACATCCTGCCCCATAATCCAATGCATTACATATAAATATACTGTATTACTTAATACAGAAACTGCTGAATAACAAGTGCAGGGTCAAAATTATTCCTGCTTAGTATCATCAAGTTAGCCTTGTCATTGCGATCATGTTGGCATGTTGATGTTAGCATTTAGATGAAAGCTGAACATTGCCGCTAGTCTTGCTGTAGACTTTAAGTCTTGTTAACGCTATGCTAGCATATAACACCGAAATAATAGCAAATCAGTTAAATTATTCTGACTTAATTGGCCATGTGTTACACCCAACCCTTTGGTGGCTACATGGGGTGAACAAAACTCCAACACTGACCCACACAACACAGATAAACACCTTTACAACAACCAAATCCATGGGATTTATTAACATAATAAGACGATAAATCAAGAATACAAAAACACAAAATCATAACACAAAATCCCCGGCTGAGAGGCATCAGGACTAGCAGTCCCAACTCAAAAAGCCTCTCTGATGCTGGCGCAAGGAGCTTTTAAAGACCGACGTCCAAGGCCAGGTGGACATCATTCAGTGATCAGATGTACCACACCTGGGGCAGAACTAGAGGACCAAAGAGGAACACACAGCACGGGGAAACACATACAGCCATTATACATGATAAATGTGACTGTACCTCTCAGTGGTCCAGAAGAAGGGATGACTCAAGCATTCTTCCACTTTAGGCCTGCTCTTTGGTTCTTCCTGAATCATCCACATGACAAGATCCCTTGCGACCACGTCTTGAAGATGGTCCAAAGTGTAAATCCCTTTATGAATGTTGTACTCACATTCAAAGGACTTTTTGCCAAAAGGATGGTGTCCTCCAGAAAGAATGTAATAAATCAGCATCCCTGACACCTTAAAAGTTAGCATAGTAGTTTATTTACTGAACGACTTTTCACTTAATCTTCAAGAACATATCTAGATAGCAAACTTACCTGAATATCAGTGCTCCACCTGTATGGTGTCAGCGTCTCCTTCTAAAGTCTCCTTGGCCATCCAGCATTTTGTTCCTGCCCTTCTTGTGTGGTAAGTCGTTTGTCCTTGAAGTAATTGTCTACTAATGCCAAAATCAGCTAATCTTAACCTCCCGGTAACATCTGCAGGAGAAAAGGTGTAGATTGATTCAGTCAACAAAATCACACATTAAACTAACTGTAATTAAAATATTCTGTTTTTTGAATTACAGATAGCACACGTTTTTATTTTTAGGTTGTCTTACCGATCAAAACGTTCTGTGGTTTAATATCCCTGTGGAGAATTTGAGGATTTTCACAATGAAGCACCTTTAAGCTCTTCAAAACCAGTTTGACCAGTTTGACCAGTCTGACCAGTTTATTTGCCAGCAGACTTTCATAATTTATTTCTATGTATTCTTCAAGCGTAAATTCGCAAAGTTGAAGAGCAAGATATCCAAAGTTCTCATCCTCTGCAAAGTCAACGTATCGTACAATAGATGGATGATCAAGCTCTGGAAGTCGCAGAAATCCCTCTTCATTCTTCAGCACTTGATAGTTGCATTTAGACATTCTCTTAATAGCAACTTCAGTGCCGTCATCTCCGCCCCATCAGCCCCAAGAAGACTTCAGTACCATCACTTCTCTTTGCTATGCGGAATTCTTCTTTATTCACATAAATCAGGCTTCCAACCCTGGTGACTTTACTTTCACTAGAGCTAATAAGCTTCTCTAACTTTTCCCTCCACCTCTTGCTGATCTGCAGCCATTTGTGTGGATTAGCATTTGAAGTTGACTCCACAATAGGAGCTGCTGCAGTTGCAGTATTGCAAACTTCATCAGTTGGGTCTTCTTGTTTTTCTGACTTTTTCTTTCCAGGTGACAGGTCATATTTCACATTTGGAGTGCTGAAATGGGATTTCAGTTGATTGATTTCTTCTTCTTTCAGCTGGTCATTCTCTGTCAGTATGTCCTCGGGTACTGAAGTTAACTCCAGTGCTTTTAACATGTCAGCCACATGTTCAACTGAAAGTAACTTTGCTAAAATGCTTAATGTGGATTTTATAATGGCATGGGACTGCTTGATATCTACAAAAGGACTTTTTGACATAACATCTTAATAAGGATGGGATCCCAGTCATCTGTGCCTTTTGTTTTTTGTGTTATTGCCGACAGTGTTTCCAGAACAACTCGATATAAAGCAAGTTTCTCTTTTGAACAAAGCTGTTCCAGTAGTTCTGGGATTATAGCCAAAGCTTGCTCATTTGGTATGTCTTCCATTGCTTGGAAAACTGCACATAAACTCTTAATTGCCTTAATTACATTTGTCTCAGGGATGTTTGGAAAGCGACAAACTGCACTTGCAATGTAGGGGTTCAGATTGTCCTTCACCCAATTAACACTTCCCTGGTGGTATATTTCTGCATCCGGCACAATTACATCAAAGAGCATTTCAATCATGGTCAGATGAGTCTGAGGGTGCTCCCGCAACATGTGACTGTCAAATATTTTGAAAACTTCTTCAGGTGGTTTCTCTTGGAGAGCAATTTCCAACTCCATGAAATATCTGATTTTGGAGCATATTTCATCTCCTTTTGATGCAAGGTTATGAATCATCTCAGATATTTTTTTATTGTAAATAATATGTTCAGGATCAGTGAGAGGTAACAATGTTACCAGTGCACCAGCAGATATGAGCAGCTTCAAGACATCATCCCTGTCATTGATGGCAGCAGTTTGCACCGGTGTGAATCGGTGTAGATTACATCCATTTGGACTGGCTTTTGCTTCAAGGAGTTTCTCCACAAAAAGAAGTGGTGCTTTGTATAGTGAGACATAATGCAAAGGTGTTAAGTCAGATTGAGAAGGTATGTTTGGGTCTGCACCCTGCTCCAAAAGGAAATGAAAAATATCCCTGTTGTGATTTACAACAGCAGCAATCAGTGGGGTTATATAGTCATTCCACTCTGTGCAGGGGTAAAATGCATTAATGTTGTTGTCCTTCAGTGCCTTTTTAAGCTTGTTGAGTTTGTTGTTAATTATATACTGTATTATAGGATGTGATTTTCTTCGGGAGACTGCCTCTTGTATCTTTTTGCAGATATTCATTTCTTTGCTTCAGGGTAACTGTAAAAAAGGCAAAATTAGGAACATTTGGTGCCAATTTTTCAATGATTTGACAACCTAAACCTGAAATTCCAATTTCCAACACTGTGTTTAGGTGGGTTCAGATGGTGATGATTCTAACTTGAGGGCAACTCAATCAGAAACAATCTACATGACTACATTACTGTACAACTAGAGGTGACCTTTGTTACCAAGGGTGTGATTCCCACAGGTGCTCAGTTGTTTTGCTCCAACAAGACCTTCATCCCCCCTCAGCCAATTGTCCCACATGAAGCCTACTCTGAATACAATACAGTTTTATGGAAAATGATAGAGGATTGTAGTAAAATTAACTTGCAAACTTGGTGATGGTGCAGGACTATGCCTTTGGTGTGAGAGACCTGGGTTCAATCCCCTACTGTGACCCATCCACCAATATGTCCCTGAGCAAGACACTTAACCCCTAGTTGCACCAGAGGTGTGAGACCTCTGACATATATAGCAATTGTAAGTTGCTTTGGATAAAAGTGTCAGCTAAATGTGTAAATTTGAACTTCTCTGACATTACCTAAACAGAGGTCTTTTTCCACTACATGGTTAAAAAGAGCTTCTATCTGCTTTGCCACTTATGGTTTCTTTGAAAAGGTTATTTTAAATGGGGATTTTTGATTCATGTGTGCTTGTCTAAAAGGCATTACCTATAGTCTTTCCTTTTGCTTTCAAGAATACAGTCAAATGGTTGTAAAGTCTAGATTTGCTCATTCTGATAATTTAATGTTTTTAGAAGAGTGCAGCATCCTAACCCTCACTGACTGTTGAGAATCTGAACTTCCTCATTCGGGCTCTCCACAGGCAGGCACAATTTGACGCAACACCGGAAACCTACTTTGAATGTGCACAAATGTCAATAAACATGCTTTAGTCATGGCAGGTACGAAGATAAAAAATTTTTTATTGTGTTTATGAATAAATGTTTGTTATGATGACATCAAATTACCATGAGAGTGGATTATGAATAAGATTAGGTCCAAATGAGTGTGCTTCTCTTAAGCGAGCACACTGATTATTTTACAGTACAATATTTAAGTAAACGATGTAGGAACATTAACTTACAGTGTCGACGTGGGGTGTCCAGTGTTGAGTCCAAATGCGAGAAGATCTAAGTTGTTAAAAATGTGGATTTGCCTTCAGACACAACCATGCGCTCACAGCCTCAAGCAAAAGTATTGTGTCTTAGGGTACAGGCGTTGTGCCACCCTCCACACAAGTTACGCCCTTTCCTGTTCTAGAAACACTACTAAGAGGAAGTCAATGTGGATATGAAACCTGCTGAGTTACCTGCTTCACACTGAAGCATGAAATGTTATTGGAAGAAAACATATTATTCTTTCTGTAATGTAGACCTGCACATGTGATGATAGATAAGTGTATAAAGTAGTATCATATGTATTATGATGGTACATTATGACTGGGGACTGATTTCAAAAGGGGAAAAGCTGAAGAATTGAAGAATTGTTGAGCCTTTGGGCCAAAACAGTGAAACAGGCAGGTGCCATCTTATTAACTGCAAACACATGATATGTTCATGGGTAAGCCAGTCTAGCTGCCTGTAGTCAACCTGTAGATTTTTGATGCCACAACCCGTTTATTTTAACAGTAATCATTTGCATGTGTCAGCTTATGAAATAAGGCCTTTATATCCTCATCCTGAATTATATTGTAGTGATATTATATTGTTTGTGTTGTTAAGAGTCTGCAGTTTGGTGCTGAGACCGTGCCCAGTTTCTTTTTAGAGCTTTATCACTGAAAACATCCACCTGCTGCAGCTGGAAACAAATTGATGAAGGATCTGAAAGATGCTAAAACACTCCATAGAACCGAGAGGGACTGCTGAGTCATTTGAAAATTTAATGTGGGTTTGTGGTTATGAGTGACGCCTGTCACATTAACATACTCATTTGATACACAAATAAAGTCATCTTTAATCTTAAATCAATACAGTGTTTGCTGAATCTCTGAGATCCCCCTGTCCTTTGTAAGGACAATAAATATTGAGTATACATATCACATAACAAAGTAATTAATGATTCTTAGAGAGATGATGATGAAATGAACTGTGGCTGATGTTGCCAGTGCCATAATCCTAACGATCAATGAAAGATAAAGGACATCTTACAATCATAATTTTACACATTTATTTTGATACTCAACTGATATACAATATATATTGGAGTAACATTCAACATGCTTAAAAAGAAAACTATACAAAAGAATCTACATGTTGTAAAGCTTGCATATGTCATTATGTTCTTTTTTATTTGCAATATCATTCACTTAATGAGTAGATTTACTTTTAGACTTTAGAGTTTGTTAAGTTTATCTAAAAAGAATTTGCCAAAATCAGTTCAGACAATTGTATGACAAACATTCCCTGTATGGAAAAAACAAATGGGTGTGATACGTTATATACAGCCAGAGGGAGGCACTGTGGGCCCATCAGAGCAAGAACCCCGGTGCTGATAAGGCATCATACTGTACATTACCACAGGGTGAGAGTACATGAGACAAGTGGCAACCTCACCTGTTTACACCCTCAGTTGCCCTAAATGAAAATAAAAGAAAACCAGTGAGGTACATTTTTCTTAAGTCTTGGCATATACTTTCGGGGTGTAAAGCAATTAGCACAGGAATATTAAATTCATAGAAACATCTACAGATTCATACAGCTCAAATTAAATTTCAAAATTTCCCATTTAGGACATTTTAGGACTGAAATCGTAGTACCTCTGTGAGTATAAAAAGCTCATGTAATTTCTTTCCCCTTCACAAAATATCTTTTTAGTGGAAGATAAAAGATTATCTCATAATGGCAATAACATAATTCAATACAAGAAAACAATAATGGCAGAGGAAAATGTAATTTTAGGGTCTGCAAACAGCCACATGTGCAAAACCTTGTTGAATGTAATATTCCTAGTCTAGCAATAATGATTTCTAGTCTGATCTCATTGCCCAGTGTTGCTAGAGTCTTGCTTTGGTTCATGTTAATGACTTACATTGGAAGTGCACATGATTTTGCTTTTCTCTGATTGCTTTTTGATTCAGCACTGTCCCCTCACAGCAAGAAGTTCTGTCTATAGTCTTTTTAGAATCCTACTTCACTTCAAGTCACTGGGTTGAGACTCTTGTACTGGGACGCCCAGATGCTCCTTAAGGTTTGTGGACGGCATAACAGAGGTGGTAGTGACATCTTCACTTCGAAACATTTCCTTTAAGGGTGTCTCAGAATTCCACCCTTGGGTCTTGGCAAACTTGAAAACACATCCAAAGAGATCAGGAAATATTGTCGTCACATCAACTTGGGCTGCATCCTCCTCACTGCAAACGAAAAGGAACGTTTTATCAAAAAGTAATGATCACCCAGCTTACAAATCTTCACCCAGGAGTCCTGGTGTACTGGGGCCGAAACATTTTTTTCTTCTTAATTCTTATATTTTTGGCACCACACATTTCTTTTAACTCTCTCTCCTTTCGCCATATTTACTGTCACTGTTGACATATCGTACAACCCTGACTTCGGCTACGTTTTGTCTGCGCTGAACTCAGCCCAGGTCGCAGATCATAAAGTAAGACGTTAGAAACTGAAAATAAAACCGGCCTTTCAGGAATCTTACATAACTTCCTAATGGACCACCTGATTACACTTGATTGCTGTCTCACAGTAGATTTAATGACTGACACAAACTATTATTTTTTGAGTTTTGTTTCTCATGTATCATCTACTGCAAAACTAACAATAATTAAATGACAGACTGAAGGAATCAAATTTATCATATTTTTTTGTCTTGCAAAGAGACTGAACCACAGAACTCTATTTAAAAAAAATAAAGTATAATTATTCTTTCTATTGTTTATAAATTCAGAAGAATTGACTTTTAGTGAAATTTAAAATCCACCCATCATTTTTAACTTCTCACTAGTGCTCATGGAGGTTTCGAATGAAGCGCAGTAATCCCAGCGTGTTGTCAGGGTAGGCTTTGTTCTTGGCATCCATCTTCTGGATCAACTCTGGTGGAAACTGCAAAAACAAAAGTAATTAATCATGAAGTAGAAATTCGTAATAGAGAAGGTGAATTTGCTGTGTTGCATTCACCTTATTTTTCCACTGTTTGAAGAATCCTTCCCCGGCACATTTTTCCAATGAATCAATCACTTCCTTGTCAGCATTTCGACACTTTTTTACATCCTCCCTGTTGCCAATCCTCCTCAAGTATTCAACTCTCCTGAAAGAACAGTTCGTTTTAGGATATATTTTAATTGAAAAATAAACAGAATCGTAGTGATTGGAAGCATACCCCTCCTCCAACAGCAGTTAACGAGGCCTGGTATGTTCTCAACATGCTATAACAACATGCATGATTGATATTCAGAAACACAACGGCAAAACTACAAGGAATGGATTTAACACTGATTCGTAAGCTGCAAAAGTTAGCATGCCTGGCTAACTAGCTTCCTACTTCTACCATTACATCCAAATCCAATGAGCATACTTCTAGCTGCAATATTATTTGGGGTCACAGGTTATGTTAGAATAACCCACATTCAGGACTGTCACCTCCGCTGTGGTGGTCCTAGCTGATACGATATCAGAGTTTTCCGTAGCCTTAGCAGCTCTATCCTTGCCAAAGAGGAATTTCCAGGTTCTGTTTCAGGCTTGAGAAAACCTTTTTCAAGATCTCACTGTATTGAAGCCCTCAGAGGAAAGGAAGAAAATTTTATTTTTTCCTCATTTGCCTCTCAGGACATTTGACATTTTTAACAAGACTAATAATTCAAAATCCAGCATCGGAACTTAGCTTGACTCAGTATGTAATGTGGTTCACTCCATATGTCTAGACAACAACTCTATGAGCTCATATTGTAATGTATGTAATATTTCTGTTTAGAGCAATCAGCAATTTCCATAAGACTTTTGTGGGCTAAACGTCACGTCAAGTCCATGAGCAAGTTGAGGGGTCACGGTTAGTTCAGACATTATAACCACATTCATTCATCCCTAGAACGTGACTCCTACTGACTGTGTTAATCCTGTGACTTGACCTTTAATGCCACCAGCAGTTTGACTTTTTTGGCTTATATTAAAATGTCTTGACAACAATTCAAGTTTTCACTTTATGTGAAAAACATCTCCTGGATGGGTTGGGTAAAGATTTGGTACAAAAAATCCATGGTTCCCAGGGTATTGACATTTGTGGGATTGAATGTCTCAACCACTATTATGCTATTATAATAATAACTATTATAATAATTATACTATTGGATGGATTGCTATGAAGTCTGATACAGACAATAATGTCCCCCTTAGGATGAATAGTAACTTTTACTCTGGAGCCATCATCAGATCAAAATACTTTAGTTCATGACTAAATATTTGAAAATCCCACCAAACTCAGCTGCAACGGTTTGGTGCTAATCAGTAAATAGACCCACTGGGTTTCGGTGAGGCACTGGGACACAGCCAGGATGTTGCTATAATGGCAGGCTTTGCCCTCCCTTTGAGTGTGGCTATTTAGAACAGATTTGAACACATCTCACTCTGAAACAAAAACATCAATTCAGTTAAGGAGCTACATTATCTAGGGAAAAGTGAATGTTTGTGCCAGATTGTGTGCCATTTCATCAGTAAAGGTAGAGATATCACTCTGGACCAAAGTTGTAGGGTATCTAAATGGCTGACAATACCAACCTGTTAAAGAATATTCTTTTTATGTCTTAATTGATGTAACAGGGAAAGGTAAGACAGATCTAGCTTAGAGTCATTAGCTGGCCCACAAGTGTTCACTGACCTTTCAGCTCTAGTTATTTCTCACACGTAACTGTCCTTGTTAGGGAGATGATAGTTAGACTGATATGGTAGAGACAGTAGCTCAGGCGTCAGGCTAGCAGATATCGGTGTTCTCTGGGAATCTTACAAGGTTGAGTCCTACAAGATTGTTTACAAGAAGTTACTGGCTCCACAGATTAGAGTACAACATATAGATAGTAATAGATTCCAATATGATGAAGCAGTGGAGTTCAAACATCAGACAGATTAGTTGTTCCAGGTTAAGGCCAGTTAAAGATGACCTAATAGAGAAACCTACAGACACTAGGGGGAAGAGAGAAACAAAAAAGGACCAAAAGATGCAGATTTGGTGTTGGTATTCGATGTGTTCACGTGTAGTATGTATGTAGTACATGTAGTAAGTCTTCGTCAGTCTCCGAAACTATATTAAAAGCAGAACGTGTCTCACAATAATTCTTCAACACAACCCACTGAAAAAAAAGGATTTTATTCATCAATCTATCAATCAATCATCCTCACCTCTCAGTGGTCCAGAAGAAGGGATGACTCAAGCATTCTTTCACTTTGGGTCTTTTCTTTGGTTCTTTATTGATCATCCGCTCAATGAGATCCTTTGCCACCATGTCTGGAACATGGACCAAAGTGTAGTTCCCTTCATGAATGTTGCTCTCAACTTTATAGGACTGGTCGCCGAAAGGATGGTGTCCTCCAGAGAGGATATAGTAAAGCAGCATCCCTGCCACCTTGTGAATTAACAGAACATTTTAGCGATTACGGAAGTATTTTCACCAAGTCATTCATGGTGTGTAGCAGTAAAACTGACCTGAACATCAGTGTTTGGCTTGTATGGTATGACAGCTTCATCTGCTAAAGTCTCCTTGGCCATCCAGCATTTTGTTCCTGCGCTGCCTGTGCGGTAAGCTGTTTGGCCTTTGAGTAATCGTCTGCTTATGCCGAAGTCAGCTAATCTTGCCCTTCCAGTAACATCTGCAGGAAAAATTACAAAAGTATGTATGATATTTATAAATTCAAATGTTGTTGTAACATTGTAACATTGTAAATTCCATCATTTTCATATATTTTTTGATTTGTCTTACCGATCAAAACATTCTGCGGTTTAAGATCCCGGTGGAGAATTGGAGGATTTTGACAATGAAGCACCGTTAAACTTTCGAGGACCTGTTTGATCAGTTCATTTCTCAGCAGACTTTCATCATTATTTCTGATGTATTCTTCCAGCGTGTATTCACAGAGTTGAAGAGCAAGATATCCAAAGTTCTCATCCTCTGCAAAGTCAACGTATCGTACAATAGATGGATGATCAAGCTCTGGAAGTCGCAGAAATCCCTCCTCAATCTCAGCTCCTGATAGTTGCATTTAGACATTCTCTTAATAGCAACTTCAGTGCCGTCATCTCTCAGCCCCAAGAAGACTTCAGTACCATCACTTCCCTTTGCTATGCGGAATTCTGCATCATTCACATAAATCATGCTCCTAATTCTGGTTACTTTACTTTCATCAGTGCAAACAAGCTTCTCTAACTTTTCTCTCCACCTCTTGCTGATCTGCAGCCATTTGCGTGTTGTTGATGAGATAGTGGTGCTGAAGTGGAATGGCTTCACATTTGAAGTTGACTCCACAATGGGAGCTGCTGTTGGGTCGTCTTGCTTTTCTGATTTATCCTTCTTTTTCTTCTTTTTTTTCTTCTTTTTTTTGGATCCAGGTAAGGCCGTACTGTCCCCACATCCGAAGTCTGGTGTGCTGAATTGTTTTTTCAACTGTCTGAGGACTTCTTTCAGATCTTTTATCATCTTCATATCTGCAGTTGTCAGTATCTCTTCAGGCACTGAAGTTATCCCCACTGATGTAAAGAATTTAACTGCATGTTTAAATGAGAGCAAGTTTCCAAATATGCCGTACGTTAAGACTCTAATGTTAATAAGGTGTTCTTCTTGGACAAAAGGAGCAACTGATTTGCATAACTTCTCAATAAAGTTGGGATCCCAGCCATTTGTGCCTTTTGTTTTCTGTGTTATCACGTATAGTGTTTCCAGAACTGCTTCCATATATCAGGTCTCATTTTTAAACAAAGCTTTTCCAGGAGTTGGGGGATTATAGTCAAAGCTTGCTCATGTGGTATCTCTTCAACAGTACACAAAACTGCATATAAACTAACAATAGCCAGATTTACACGTTCCTGGGGAATATTTGGCAAGCGACTGACTGCACCTGCAATGTAGGTGTTCAGATTTCCAGTGTCTTTCAGCCATTTAATACTTCCCTGGCGGTATTTTTCTGCATTTTGCCCTGTTACATTAAAGAGGATTTCAATCATGGTCAGATGGGTCTGAGGATCCTCCAGCAGCATGTGACTCTCAAATTTTTTTAACACTTCTTCAGGTGGTTCCCCTGGCACAGCAATTGCCATATCCACAAAATGTTTGAGTTTGGAGCATAATTTATTTCCTTTTGATGCAAGGTTATTAATCATCTCAGATATTTTCTTATTGTGAATAATATGTTCAGGATCAGTGAGAGGTAACAATGTTACCAGTGCACCAGCAGATATGAGCAGCTTCAAGACATCATCCCTGTCATTGATGGCAGCAGTTTGCAGCGGTGTGAATCGCTGTAGATTACATCCATTTGGACTGGCTTTTGCTTCAAGGAGTTTCTCCACAAAAAGAAGTGGTGCTTTGGATAGTGAGACATAATGCAAAGGTGTCCAGCCACATTGAGAAGGTATGTTTGGATTTGCACCCTGCTCCAAAAGGACTTTAAAAATATCCCTGTTGTTATTTACAACAGCAGCAATCAGTGGGGTTATATGGTCATTACACTCTGTGCAGGGGTAAAATGCATTAATGTTGTTGTCCTTCAGTAATTTTCTGAGCTTCTTGAGTTTGTTGTCAATTATACACTGTATTATAGGATGTGTTTCTCTTGGGGGGGCTGGCACCTGTATCTGTGTAATGATATTCATTTCTAACATTTCTAACTGTGAAAAAAGACAAAATTATAATATTAATGTTACAACATTTAGAAACCATTTTAAACTTTAGATAAGCAGCAAAACTATCATTAGAATTTAAGCTTAAAGGTTCATTATCATTTCCAAGTTTAATCTTTCAGTCGTTTGAGAAGCTAAAATTCCATTTATCAACAGTGTATTTAGGTGGGTACACATGGTAGATAATTGAAACCTGAAAGCAACTTGGTCAGAAACCATCTACATGACTACATACATTGCTGCACAACTACTGGTTGACATTTATCACCAAGTCTGTGATTCATAAACTCCTCAGTCAAGTACCGACATATAGCCTACATGCAAAACTATTTCATTCCACCATTAAGAAACGTTGCAGCAGGTTGAGTAGTAATTTCTTTTGGATTTGCTCATTCTAATGATTTAATGTTTTAGATAAGACAGTGTGTGAGTGCCTCACTGACTGTTTAGACTCTGAACTTCCTCATTCAAGCCAGAAACCAGAAATCAACTTTGAACATGCACAGCCGTGAAATGTCAGTAAATGAAATATTGTGTTTGGAAGTAAACATTTATTATGATGTCATCAAATAACTTATGTTCATTACGATGTCAAAACCAACAAGTAAAGTTTAGAAAGTAGCAGTGATCAGTAGAATCAGCTAACTATCTTCGTAGGCCTGTATTGTAAAACATTTTTCTTTTAAAGATAGATAAAGAATGTTGGAAATGAAACTTACAACTCTGAAGTCTGGTGTCCGCTTTGTTTATGTACAAAATTCAAGCTTCTGTGCTCACTCTGTGTCACTCTCTTTCGCTAACTTTGTCCGTGTCTTTAAGTTTCGTTTTCCTCTTGTCTGTCTTTCTCTGCACCAGGGACGTGCACAGGGGGGTTGCTCTGGTTGCCCGGGCAACTGCCCGTTTGCCTTTCCTGACTCAAGTTGCCCTTCCGACTCGCCCTTCCGAGAAAAATAAATAAAGTAAAAAAATAATCGTCCTCATTCACTTCCATTCGGGCACCGAAAGTGAAAGTCAGTAGGGGAAGGGCAAACTCTGTTTAAGTGGCTGCACTGCTGCAGCGCTGCCTGCACGTCAGTCGATTCTGTTCCCTTCCGGAATTCCTGTTTCCTTCCTTTATGCAATCATACTACAACAAATCATGCGTAGTTTTGCCCAGTTACCATACGTGATACGTACCAACAGAAGTGAATACGAGCTAGAAGCGCAACTGAATGTACGGGAAGCCAAAAGGTTAAAAAAGGATTGTATTTTTTCCGAAATCTAAGCGTTTTTTTATTTAATATTTTATTAGAAGCGAGTTTTCCCCATCTGTCAATTCAATCTAGATTATTTATTTTCAAATAAAAAAAAGGAAAAATAATAATAATAATAATGATTAAAAAACAATAAACAATAATATAAGGAACTCTTTTTCTCATATGTATTTTGGTGACATTTATATTGTTAATACATTTTGGATACTGTGTTTAGTGCCTTTTTTCAGGTCAGAGCAACTGCCCTTCAAAATTCCTGTGCACGTCCCTGCTGTGCTGTATGTGTGCGTTATGGGTGTGGCACTGATCCACTCTCTCTCCTGGCTCCGGTTACCTGATGATGACGCATGCCTCTCAGCTACAGTGACCGGTCAGACCTTGCTTGTGAAATCCTCTTGTTTTGTGATTTACCTGTTGACTGTTTTCTGTGAATGATACCTTCTCTCTTGTGCTCCAGGACAACTGCCTGCTGGTCAACGCCAGCAAGCCACACCAACTACCCTGCCAGTTCTCACCGCTCCAGCCACTGCCTGCCATCCTCTGCCCATTCCCAGCAACATCTCCAGACCCCACTCCCTTTACAATTAACATCTTTTTCACATTTCAACTGCCTTGTATAAATTCTGCTTTTGGGTCCCAAATCTGCTGAACGTAACAGTCTTTCTCACTTTATTGTCTAATTTGCACTGCTATGTTGCTGAACAGGCTGGACTAACCTTTGATGGACTCGTCAATAAGCAGATTAGCATATACCGATCAGCCATAACATTATGACCACCTGCCTAGTATTGTGTAGGTCCCCCTTTTGCTACCAAAACAGCCATGACCTGTCAAGGCTTGGACTCCACTACACATCTACAGGTGTGCTGTGGTACCAAGACCTTAGCAGCAGATCCTGTAGGTCCTGCAACTTGCAAGGTGGGGCCTCCATAGATCAGACTTGTTGCTCCAGCACATCCCACAGAGGCTCGATTGGATTGAGACTTGGGGAAGTTGGAGGACAAGGCCAAATCAACACCTTGAACTTGTGTTCCTCAAACCATTCTTGAACCATTTTTGCTTTGTGGCAGGGCACTTTATCCTGCTGAAAGAGGCCACTGCTATCACGGTATACCGTTTTCATGAAAGGGTGTACATGGTCTTCAAAAATGCTTAGGTAGGTGGTACGTGTCCAAGTAACATCCACATGAGTGGCAGGACCCAAGGTTTCCCAGCAGAACATTGCCCAAAGCATCACAATGCCTCTGCCGGCTTGCCTTTTTTCCATAGTAAATCCTGGTGCCATATGTTCCCCACGTAAGTGATGCACCCAGCCATCCATGTGATGCAAAAGAAAATGTGATTCATCAGACCAGACCACCTTCTTTCATTGCTCCGGGGTCCAGCTCTGATGCTCATGTGCCCATTGTAGGCCCTTTCAGCGGTGGACAGGGGTCATGGGCACGAGCATGGGCACCCTGGCTGGTCTGTGCTACGCAACAAACTGCGATGCACTGTGTGTTCTGATATCTTTCTATCAGAACCAGCATTACCTTACTCAGCAATCTGACCTCGTCTGTTGGATCTGACCACACTGTTCAGCCTCCTCACATGCAACAATGAGCCTTAGCTGTTGTGTTGACACTGTTTTCCTTCCTTGGACCACTGTTGATAGGTACTGAACACTACTGACCCCCCCACAAGAGCTGCAGTTTTGGAGATGCTCTGACCCAGTGGTCTAGCTATCACAATTCGGCCCTGCTCAAAGTTGCTCCAATTCTTACACTGCCCATTTTTCCTGCTTCTTACACATCAGCTTTGAGGCCAAAATGTTAACTTGCTGTCTAATATATCACACCCACTGACAGCTGCCAAGATAAAGCGGTAACCAGTGATATTTACTTCACCTGTCAGTGGACAGAATGTTATGGCTGTGTATGTTATTCTGTCATATTACTATGTTTCCACTGTGTATTAGTACATTAGTTTAAAAAAGTTTTGTTTTGTTGAACAAACAAAGATGTTCCTAATTCTTGCTTGTAGTATGCATTTAAAAGGACAAGATCAACAATAGACAGTAATACACATTCTAATTGTAAACTACAGTATAGTGGGAGATTTTAGTGCCTAAACTGACATTATTGTTTCTCAGGTTAACAAGTTAAGACATATAAGGGTTTTCTCATCTATAATTGGATAAATTACTGTTAACTGTGATCGGGCACATAATTTCCCAGAAATGAAGAAGCTGCAGTGCAGGCCTGAGTTGAAACACAGGCCAACAGGTTTTCTATCATTCTATCAAAGGGTGTGGCAAATTATTACTGTGAGCTCCTTTAAGAGATTAGGTAATACCCTGCTCTGGCTCTACAATGTTACGAGTATTGTCGAGATGTTTTGGTCTGCAAAAATGGGAAAGTTAAGAAGCCTGATGAATTTTAATGTAACATTCAAATCCCTAAAAGTTGGAAAGACAGAGCCTCAAGATTCCAATGTATTTTGTTAAAGTAATGAAGTTAGTAAAGCTAAAAAAGTAATTAATCTTGTCAGGGAATACTTGGTCTTTGAGTGATGTTGGGCCACATTTTAAATTCATAAAATCACTCCCCTAACAGGGAGTGGCATTGTAGTCCTTCAAAAACAATGAATTCCCAACTTCTTCTTCCTCTTACAATCTTTCTGAAAAGGCAATACTCCTGAGAGGCTATGACAATAGATATAGTAATGATCATCATCATCATCATATCTAGTCCAACTCATTTCCCACACAATGTTGAAATATTTTGGAAAAATACAAGAAAAATTGCACTCTTACTTTCAGATAATATTGATGCATCAATCAGTCACTAGATGATGGGTCATTAGATGGGTTGTTCAACTTAATGCAGTATAATAGGTCTCCTTTAACTTCTTAACAAAACAGATGTGGTGTTTAAACACTAATGTAACTAATGTGCATTCTTTATGACAGACATCTGTATCTAATCAGAGTCTTACTTATTTATGGTATGGTAATTATGGTAGCAGGATAGTTGTGAGTATTGCTGTCTGGAGCTGCTGTGTTGTCAGGGTATGCTTTGTTCTTGACATCAGTCTTCAGGCATGTAATTAACAAAGGGCAAAAAAGCAGGAAAATATACCCCCCCTCACACCCCAATAAAACTGTCAGCGGCTCTATTATAGCATATATGGTAAAGCAGGACCCATGACAATAACTTGTCTAATCCACTGCGACTTCGCCACCTCTCTAGAATAAGAATTATTTTGTATTCATTTTTTACAGCTGAAATGCTTTTACAGCTAAATGTGCAACATGCAGCATGAAATAACTGAGTCTATAAATAATATAACTACTAACTTTCAAATTAGTTTAGTAGAAGTTAATAGATTATTTTTAATGAATAAGAGGCAGCAGCAAAGGTTGTTTCTGAATTACGAAGACCTGGTGGCCTGACTGTTAAAGAAACATTATTTTATTCAGGAAACTCAGATCAAACAGCTGATCAGTCTCTGTTGATAAACTGTAGGAAAAAGTTTTTACATTTCAACTCCGGCAGTGGGCGGGCGTGTGCATGAGATGGGAACGACCACGATAGTTTCACGGGATCGAGCCAGTTACACAAAACCCGTTGCCATGGTTACATCGCGGAGCGCTTGTTTGCCTGTCTGTTGATGAGGAGCGCAGAGCGACCCTGCGGATCAACTTACCAAAACCTTTAACGGAACATAAAGACTTAAAAAGCCACCATTCATACAGCAAAGTGTTTATAGGCTATATGATTGATCAATCGACAACAAAGTCAAAGTAAACATTAGACATATAACAAGCAATAATCAAATCATACCCAATTTATCCGATGTTTATTGTCAACTCAGTGTTGGGCAAGTTACTCAGAAATAATATAGCTATTACCTAGTTACTTAGCATATAGGCTACTCCTTAAAAAAGTAATATTAGCTATTCTAGCCTACTTATTACTGGGTACTGGGTGATATCGCCACACTCTCCCGATGAGTCCAAGCATCACTGGCAGTAGTGGCCGGAGTTTCTTTCTGAGTTTCACGTTGCTGTGTTGCTTTAGCTGATGCTTCAATTAGCCTAAGTCAATGTAGAATTGTTCGCGGTTAAAAGCTTTTTGCTGGTCGCACAAAGTTCACAACAAACGACATGTTTTTTGCATCTTAGACTGTGACACAATATTGGCAACAACGTTACTTACAGCTGTCCCTGTTCTCCCGTCTTCCTTTTTGGCTAATAGCTGATATGGTCCGGTGCCGCTGAGCTGCAGCGCATTCACGTCAAGGATGGTGCGTTCAGTAGGGCAGCCTTAATATGATTAGTAACTGTAATAACATTACTGTTTTGGAAATAGTAATCCGTTACATTGCTCCGGGAAAGGTAATATTACAGTATTACTGCCCAACACGTTAAGTACCACTTAAAATCCACATTCAGCACTGGCACCTATACTGTGTAGGAGTTGGTCATGGATGATACGATTATAGGCTAGCATTAGCAACTCTGTCCTTACTTTATAAAGCCGTAGTGAAACTGAAACTGGTAATCAAATGTTTTGACCTCTAATGCCACCATTTTTATGACATGCCATGACTTATCTATATATATCTATGCTGCATCATTATACTTGATTCTCTGACTGTTAGTGCCACCATGAGATTGACACCATAAACATAACTGCTCATTCTAATGATTTAATGTTTTT